GGGGCTAAATCCGGAGAATACAGAAGGATGCGGAAGCAATTCAAAGTGCAATTCATGTAATTTTGCCACTGTTGCGATCCACTTGTGACACGATCCGTTGTCTTGGTGAAAGAGCATTTTTTTCTTCTTCATTTGGGGCCGTTTTTTTCGCGATTTCGTCCTTCAAACGCACTAATAATGCTATGTAATATTCACTATTGATCCTTTTTCCCTTTTCAAGATAGTCGATGAATATTATACCACAATCCAGTGGGCAGAGATTTTTATGTGTTCTTGAAATATATGAGGCTAGTTTTGACGGTTTCCTATGTACTTTTTTTTTCGTAGAACACAATGCGCGGGGTCCGTAAAGCTGAAACCGTCCGTCAATTTTTTAAAATATGCCGAGGAATGGAGATACAAGCGGAAATGTGAAAAAAAGACGTTTCTTTCACAAATTATTAATTTAAAAAATTAGCGGACAATATCAGCTCTATGGACCACGCGCATTGTGTTCTACGCAAAAAAATACATAAGGGAACCATCAAAACTAGCCCTATATGTTTCAAGAACAGTTTTTGATGATTTTAGCTCCTGCCTACTGGACTACCATGCGCATCCCAAAATACGGACGCCATATCCTTCCCGTAGCCAACTGACGCTTGTTGGATCTTGTTGCCAGATCCCCCCACCACAATCCCAGCACGTAAAGCGCGGGCTGGCGCGTACAGTCTCGGGAAAGAAATTCACTGACATTACTTTCCGGACAAACCCTGTATATATCATCCTACAAACTTATTGAGTGATGTAGTATTGCCGTCTCTTTAGCTTCGAGGTTGTCGGTTAAAACTACCGTCAAGGACACCGCGTGCCCTTCGTGCACTGAGAAAGCACTAATAGCGAGCAGTATATCGTGAAATGAGCCAATCAAGGAGTAACCTCATTTCGAGCTACGTCTGCTTAAGCGTTCGACTAGCGCAAAACCGATTAGAATCCGCCTCTTCTGGACCAGGGATACTCTCAAACGGATTGTAGGTGCTTTAGCTGAATTAACTTTGATTGCTGGATCAATCAAGTGGGCTCGGTCTGAGTAAATATGTCGCTTAGTGTCTAATTTGAACTTCGACAATATTGCGGTTCTTCTTGCTATGTAAATATTCGCCTATTTGGTGTTTTAGAAACAACTGAGAAGATGCAATCGCTTGTTGCACCCAATGCACACAATGCCTAAATGTATGCATTTCAAATATTTTTCATCATCCATAACGATAACTTTTTCACGAAAATGAATGCGTCTCAGAGCACGGCAACACCTGGGAATTATTTCCAACTGAGTTTTGGTGTATTTTGGAGCCTTTCTTTTACGACAATTTAAATTATTTCTGACTAATGTTCGACTAACAATCGAGCGTGAAATGTGGTATCTTCGAGATAACTTACGCGTTGACATTCCCACTGTGTTTTTTGCTCTTTGAGTCAAGCTTCGCTCAATAAGGCTTAAAATTTTGGGTCGTCCACGTTTAGGTAAATTATAAATAAAAAAATCTTTTATTGGCTGATAGATTGTCTAAACCGATATATATCTCTCTGTAGATCCTAACAATATCGCGTTTAAGTATATTGGTATTTTTTCCGGAAACTTTTGAGACGTTAAGATAATTGATTGAAAACTTTTATTAGACGTATTAGGGGTTGTAGGAGATGATTTTTGAAAACGTAGACTTAAATCGATCTACACTGATGATTCCATAAAAGCGTGTTTAACGCCAAAAATTGAACTGAATTGGCACCACGTTGTTATGAGCCAAAGAATAATGAAATTAATACTAGTATAATAAAAGAAATATTATATTTTTTAAATAAACACCCCATTCTAACCAGCATGGTCGTTTATAACAGAAGTCTAAATTCTGAGCGTTCAATACTCACAAAATGGGATAATGCATGTCCCTTTGACGATTAGAAACGCACCAAAAAGTCATCAACGGCATAATTCACCCCCTCAAACGTTTCAAACGTGCCAATATTTAAACAGGAAATGAAGTTTTAATGAAGACCGTTAAGTAGTAAAGGGTGCGCGTAATCCCAAATTTCTAAACAATAATTACAAATTAGCGCAAGGAACGACGCTCTCAAATTTTGGAATCGTTATTGCCTGTTATTTAACTTTGGATTACTTACCCGGAAGCTATACGGGCCAATTTAACACTTTATTTCCTGTTACAGGTTTAAATTTAAATACCGTAGAATGTTTTACCAAGGGTTGACGATTAGTGTATTCAAAATAAAAAAAATTAAGTCAAGTGGTTAATAGAAATTTGAAGTCATGTCATTTCTTATAGGGGGTGCTCTTAAATACAACACATAATCTTGCACTAACAAGTAGATAGTGGCGCCTTCCTGGGCAGTACGATCAAATTACTAACGCTTTCAAATAATTCCCTTTGGCCGTTTACGAATGAAATGGGGCGGTCAAGATAGAACAATCACATACACTGTCTTCTAACTTACAGGGAATACTGAAAGACAAAAGTAAATACCCGACGCTGACGAGAATGTCGTATTGCCAGTGTCGGCTGAAGAAGGTGTTCTCCAGTATTTTCAAGCAGTTCAGATGGAAACACATCGCCCTTATTTTAGACAGATCTGACCTTTTCTCCGTGACCGTCGGTAAGTAACCAGCAATCTGATTAAGTTTGAAGTGAACAAAACATAAATAGTTACACATATTATATTTAATACATACGAGGTATGTAAATTAAGTAAACAAACTGATTTTTTAATTTTTTTATTCGAATAGAATTACGATTCAGTATTGTCTCCTTCAAAATAACTTCCTTGGGAAGCCACACAGCGCTGTAGAAGGTTCTCCCATTCCTCATTGAAGTGCTGGAACTCATATACTGGAACAGCCGTCAGCTGTCGGTTGCGGCCGTTTAAACGTTTTCTATGGTCAAATTTTCAATCTCGGGAAAAGTTACAAAGACTCAAGTCAGGCGAATAATGAGGGTGAGGAGCCACAGGAATGTTTTTTACTGGCTAAAAACTCCCTCTCTGTAAAAATGTTTATTTACTGTTTGGCCTGGAGGCACAAACTCTTTGTGGACAATTCCCTGGGTATCAAAAAAAGCAAATCAGCATGCATTTGATCTTCGACTTGCTCACTCTTGCTTTTTTGGGTTTTGGAGAGCTTTGGCGCTTGGTTTCCGGGTCGTACTCAAACACCCAAGTCTCGTCACCAGTAATGACACGTTCCATGCAATGGGGATCATTTTCAATCGATTCCAAAAAGTCAAAACACCATTCTCTCCTGATGTCCTTTTGTTCCTGCGAGAGGTTTTTTAGAACCATTTTTGCGCAGATCCAGTATTCTATCGACACTTTCATCGGTTCTTGAAGATGAAGGCCTTCCGCTACGTAGTTCATCTTCAATCGACTCTCTTCCTTCTGACAATGCCTTAAACTACCGAAAAACCTGGACTCTTGAAAAAACACTGTCTCCGTAGGCGTGTTGAAGTTTTGCAAAAGTAAAAACCGGTTTACAAAAACGATCTCAAAGAACAAACAAATGACTCTAACAAGTTCAAACTTGTACTGAAGGTGCACTACATGTTAACCTACCGTCCAGTCTCCGCAGTGTTGCTACGTTGCCAGTCTCATTACTTAATTTACACACCTCGTATATTCTAACAATGCTTAGGATAACTAGGTTATATGTGTACTTTACTGCACTTGTTAATTAGTGTGACAGATGTAGATATTTTGCTGTAAATACAGGGTGATATTTCACCAACAATCCACCACATTTTTATTTCTAAAGCTTACTTTTTGCTGAAGCACAAGAGACCTTGGAAGTTTACATTTTTGCTAAATCTAAATATTTTTAAATTGAACGTGCAAACGTTCTACATTCGTGTGAATGCTGTTAGAAGTGTCGGAATACTATGATTTTTCATGAACAGTTTGCCTGTTTTTCTAGCAGTATGGAGGGATACAATGGACGGTATTTTGTCACATTTATAAAACCTAATTATGACCTAATAAAAGAGCACATTTTAAGCACCACCCTATACGTGACTACATTCAGAATAAAAAAAAACAATTCGAGGTTCCTACAAAAAAATCCAGGTCCCTATCAAACAAAAGGTAAGTTGATGATGGTTCCACAAATATGAAACGTCGGATAATGAATCTATATGAGGCCCTACTAAAGCTTATTACAAAGTACTGTAAGAGGTTTTTTTTTTCTTGAATAAAAAATAAAAACAATTTTCCAACAAATAACTCAAAAACTAAATATATTTGATATTTTTATTAAGAGCTTTTGAATAAACACCGAAAGCGCAACTTTTCGCGCTTTTAACCGAGTTTATCTGGGACACAGCGTATTTACTACTGACAAAGAAAGAAATCGAACAAAACTCGATAAACAGGTATACGGATTCAAAATAAATGTAAAGAATTTTATTCATGGTCTTCATGAAATACCGCCAAAACCCTTTTTGGAACCAAGACGAGGTGGCCGAGTGGTTAAGGCGTTGGACTGCTAATCCAATGGGCTCTGCCCGCGTGGGTTCGAATCCCATCCTCGTCGGTCTTTTTTTTAATCCAATCTTTATTCATTTCATTGGCATTAACATTTTATCTGCGGAATATTTTTAGTGAATAATATTTTATCAGTTTATAGAGTAAAAATACTAAGTACCACATCGAAATTTAAGTTCTATATATACACGTTTTATCTCAACAGAAAAATAAAACCGTACAAGCAACTGCGTTAATTTTGTAACATTATTTTTTCACTTCACTGCCAAACTCTACTATTTATTTTATGGCGTCAATTGTATGTTTTTAATGCCAACAAATAAATATATTTAGGTTAAAAATATGTATCATTTTTAGGTATTATGTTCAAACTCGTTATCAATTTGGAGACCTTTATCATTTACACACCGTATCAAAATAAATATGAGTCACCCCGTTTCCTTTTAATATTACATATCGGCAAAATCGATCAACATGTCAGGATGGCCGAGCGGTCTAAGGCGCCAGACTCAAGGTTTACCTTGCCTACAAATGTAGGTTGTGCGAGCATTCTGGTCCACTCTGTGGGCGTGGGTTCGAATCCCACTTCTGACATACTTTTTTTTTCGAATAAGATTTCGAAATAAGATTACAAACATAACATATATCTACTAAAAGCAATTGGCACAAAAATATACCCACGAATCATTCTTTTTCTAATCATTCGAACAAAATTACATGATACTGCAGTTATTATTGTTATCGTACAATATCCGACCACGTGATTTATGCCCTCATAAAGAACTAGAATGGCATGTATCGTGAATTAAAGGTCATGTATATGTTCAATCAAAGGACCAACGGTGTCCCATTGTTTCGAAAATTTTTCTTCACCATCTCATATTCTACAAAACAATTTTTTCTAAATTCTATCAAAAGAAATACCATTCCGAACGGAAATAATCCAAGATGCGATTTAAAAAATGGGTTGCCGCACACCAGACCATCACAACCCTTGGTAGTTGGTAGCCACCTCATTTATGCAGGAGTTATACAGGACATTTTGACAATTTTAATGATAGAAAATCAGACGAGGTGTCAAAATGTTAGGGAAAAGCGCCAACGGGCGTTTTGACGACATTTTCATTTAGACCGCTATGTAAAAAGAAATGCAATGTGATGAAATGGACAAATGGACAAAATAAAACTTTTGCTTATTTATCTTGACAAATAAACAAAAACAAACCGAATCTGTTCGTCGTTATGGTATATGTATGTGATGTAGGTTGAATGATATTCTCAATTCCAAAAACATATATTAAAATAGTGGCCCCTATAAGTATACAACCAGTTATACAAAGGAGACAGTGGATTCCATCCTAGCAACATGCAAAAATATGTGCCCCGGGTGAGGATCGAACTCACGACCTTAAGATTATGAGACTTACGCGCTGCCTACTGCGCTACCGAGGCGTTGGAAGTAATGTGTTATACACGACTTTTAAGCAAGTGAATGAAATTAAAAAATGAAAGAATAAGACTTGAAATTTTTGTAAATTACATTGACAATATCTGAATACAGGCTCAGACCAACCAATAAATACAGTCTACCGAAAAAGGATGTCATATAAAAGTGAAAAGAATAGTATCTGAGCAATCACGGGGTTATAATAAAAACGGGTTTTCAAGGTTAACTTTCCTCAAGGACTAAACACATTACCTTAATTTTGTTTCAGTAGATTTTATGTTTATATTCCATACTTATTTGTCACTCCCAACCTGCAGTTGGCTGTTGCCACTGTGTTAGTACACCCTATATCCCATATTAGTTCCACGTTTTTTTTTTTAGGTAAAATCTTAGAAGATGGTCTGAAGAGAGGGGGTTTACTGGCATTCGTAAAAAGAATTGGACGGAAATGAGAATGACTCTATCGATAACTATTTACGTGATGCAAGTATGTATGCAAGAGGTATGTAGATAACAATTAGTTTTTATTTAAAAATTCATTTAACACTTACATATGTATATTTTGTTACATTGCAAGTCAAAATTGTCTTAACAGTATTTGCTGTATTTCCCACTGATTTTTTTAGTATACAGATGTGATATTTCCCACATAAACACCTGCCATTTGTTTCAGTGGTCATCTTAAGTGTACGGGGTCACTTAGTGCGCAGATTTATGTTAGCAGCACACTCCCTCGGGATGACCAAAGGCGACTGGACCTTCCTGGACGTAGAAATATTTCAGGTAAACGCATTACAAATAAAAAAAAAACAACGAAAAGAAAATAGTTCTGTTTTCCCCAAAAATGTCCTCAAAAAGGTCATCTCTGTAGAATCTAATAAGGGCCTTTTGAAATCTCGATTTGTGTGTAATGTATTACGTAAACATTGTATATACAGTAGATATCGTTTATACCGACATCTGATATTACGACGAAACTAATATAACGACGAAATATTTAGTGCAATGTTGGGTCAGATTATCGCTGATAACTAAAGTTTCTATTTTAATTTCAGTTAATTTTAGTTTCATTATTTAAATTTTTCTAAAATGTGTCTTTAGAGGCTGTATTACATCCTAGTCCATAGCTTTTAAATTATGAATATTAGGGTGAGCTGGACAGTTATCCAAAAGCAATACAATTTTCTTTTTTTTTTTTTGTCTAATAAGTTTATTGTCCCATTGTGTAATAATTTTTTCAAATAATGCCGATGGCATCCAAACTCTTGGATTATTTTCATATTCAACAGGTAGGGATTTAACATGTTTAAAACATCGAGGCTGCTTAGCCAATAACCACGAGTTTTACTTTTTCCGATCCAGTCATATTTGCTGCAACAAGAACAGTCAATCTTTCCTTGGAGAGTTTTCTTCCTACACACTTTTCTCCTTTAAATTTCATTGTTTTATCTGACATTTAACATTCTAAAAAGTAAACCGGTTTCATCATCGTTAGATACTTACCTCTTCCGGTACATCTGCTGCTTCCCCCACTTATTTTACCAAAAACAATATATGTATGTCTTGAAATCGTTGAATTCATCCAACTGAACATTTAAAATCTTGCAATTTAAATGTTCAGTTGTAATACAGCCTCTAAAGACACATTTTAGAAAAATTGAAATCATGAAACTTTAAAAGACGTTGAAGAAAAAGGTATTCCACAAAAACTAGATATCATTGAAACCATTTCTCTAATTTCAAAAGCTTGGGATCGTGTTTCTCAAAGCACAATAGCCAATTGTTTTACACATGCTGGAATCAAACGCAACAGAAAAAGCTTTTGACGAAGATAATTTGCTACCACTAGCAGAATGGCTTCGACTAAAAAATGGTAAGGATGGAGACAATCTACCTCTAGTTCAATGGGTCCCCAATTTACATGTAGCTAACCTAGCAACTCAAGAAAGTTGGGAACACTTTTCAAATATTGATGAAGAACTCGAAACGGTGGAGCATATAACCGAAGATGAAATTTTAACTGGCTCGGATCCAAATATGGAGTCAAAACTTAACGAAGATGTAGAAATGGACGAAATAATCGATTTTCAACCACCTTAAATTAACGATGCATTTTCAGCGATTCAAACGATTCAGCATTTTTTCACATTTAATCAAAATCTAAAAAGAGTCTAAAACAGATTTTGCTTTGCTACATTTGGAAAAGTTACCGAAAGAAATTTCTTAAAAAACAAAAAATACAAAATCAAACTAAAATAACAGATTTTTTTGGTTAAGATTTAATTAAAATTAGCTCAGTGTTAAGCTGTGTAGAATCAATTTGTAAGTACCTACCTACCTACAAATATATCATTGTTGTTTCAGCTTTTTGTACCCATGTATGTTTAAGTGTACTCTTTTCTATCGTGAATAAAAACCATTTTTGAGTAAGTACATGGTGTTTGGATATACCGACCTCTGTTTATAACACAGTTTAAAGAAATCAGTTGTTTCATAACTGTCGGTTCCCTTTGAAGTTTTGTCTCGCAGTTTTATTTTTTTATACTAGGGTTAGAGGAACCTGCGCAGTAGCTACTTTTATTGCCAGAGATAGGTACTGTGTTAAATTTACGCCAAATGTGCACTGAACTTGTACCCGGCAATAACTGAATGATTAATGACTTAAAATTGAAGTATTAGAATGTCAAATACACATTTTTCTGTAACAACGGTATTAGAAATGGATATACTAACAAGGAAATACACTAAAATGTAAATAATAAGTTAACCGCTATGTACGCAAGTTCAATATTGTATGCCAGGGTCAGATCATGCGCACTAAAAAGTTGAAGATACGAGTGAAATAACTGATTTCTTTAAACTGTGGTTTATAACGACCGAATTCTGCCGGTCCCTTCAACGTCGTTATAAACGATATACTTACATACACTGTATTTTTATATGTGTTGAGCCATCTAACGAATGATCGGAGCTAGTCATCAAAAAGATCAAAACCTCGACAAACCGTGTCCCATATTATCACCCTCTTTTCGTTAATGATACCAAAACCATATATCTAATACTCCTATATTGCTGGTGCCCGTAGGTGGAGGTGTCACGGGGTAAGTGAGACAGCAAATGACTACTTGACCTGTTGTCGCAAGCGTCACGAATCTGGTGGGGCAATTGACTGTGTGTGATTGGATGTTCAATTCTCGGGCATGCGCATAAGACTCGAAGTAGTTACGAGAGAGAGACAGACGTATATATGTCTGCCCGTAGTGTTTTCGCCAATCTCCAGACCCTTCTAGCAATATAGGAGTTAGGGATGGGAATCGAAAGGAAATTTATCGATATTTAGTATTGCAATATATCGAATGATGCGATAATAATTATCGATATATTGAATAAAAAATATCGATAATTAAAAATATCGATAAAAATTTACTTTTTTTTAAATAGTAAAAAATGGCAATAAAAATAATTAAATCCCGTGTTTTTCTATGTGCGACCACATATTACTGGTGTTTTTCGATGTCGCGACCTTTACTGAACACATTTCACCGAGAGTAATTATCGTCTTCGCGAATAAAGTGTTTCCAAACCTCGCTTTTCGGTGGAGCCATTTTTCTTGGTTACTTATATTCACATTTGTATTTCACATATAAAAATCACTCGCCGATTAATTTCTCTATATGAACATTCCAGGAATATAACATCTTTTCCCGAACATCCTTTCATTGCATCGAACAAATATGCCACTCTTATGGGGGTTAAAACATCATTTTAAAGTGTAGGTTTCCCGTTTTGAAGCACTTTCTTTTCTTTCTATCTCATGTTTTAAAAGAAGTAAGACAATACAATCGTATTTTTCCCAGTTTCCCTAGAAATGAAACACCGTTTACGGCGTTTACACCGATTTAGCGTCGACATCGATTATAAACTAGTAATTTTCATCAACAAAACAAGAAACAATTTCGATATGGCGAAGGGCGACTAAGATGGCAATTAAAATTTAAAAAAAATTAATTCTTGGTATTTTTCTCTGAAATTTTAAAAAAAGAATCTCGATATTTGTCTTTATATCGAATAAAATATATCGATATCCGATAATATCGTTAGTTCCGATATCGATATAAAATATCGAAATATCAAAACAAAATATCGA